ACTAAGAGGCATAAAATGATGAGAGAGTGATGCTGATAATCACATTAACGAAATATTTATAGTTAGGTAAAAAGTCTTATAAAATAAATCACCATCATTATTGTAATGATAACATAGTGATAATGCGACTACTATTACTTTTACTTTTTCTACTGTAACTCTTACTAGTCGTAGTAGTAGTAACAGTAGTAGTTCTCCTACTGCTACTACTACTAATAAGGATAATAATAATAACAGTAATGATATTGATACGAAGAACAACAAAGTTACAAAAACAGTTGGCAACTTTTGAGCCTCTTCGCCCTCATTCAGTGCAATCTTTCTCTTGTTTTTCTTTTTTTTACCATTGTTATTACTGAATCATTTCAATTAATACAATTTACTTGATATTGCTATAATTACCAGATGTAAAACCAAAATTCTTCTTTTATTTATGATAGTGTTAACAACCGTGTTTATATGTATGCACCTTGATAATAATATTGACAATGACAATGGCAATAATAACCAAATTAATAATGATAATGATAAATCATCATATTAATAACGATGATGTTGACGATAGTAGTAATGATAATAATAGTAATAATAATAATAATAATAACATGATAATATCAATAATAATGATGATGATGATAATAATGATAATAATAATAATAATAATAATAATATCAAAGATAATAATAATAAAGAAATAAAAATAAGTAAAGTTCCTTACCGCACTGGCCATCATAGGCCTTCTGCATAGCCACGCCCCTCGCCTGCGCCTGGCAAATGGCGACGTTGAGGATGCACTCGTTGTTGTAGGTCTCTCCGTCGCTGCCGCACACGGGCGCGAACTTCCTGTTGCAGTTCTCGGGGCACGTGGGCGCCGTCCCCGCGGGCGGCTCTCCTCCGTCGCCTCTCGAGCCGAAGGCGTCGAGCAGAGGCCCCGCTCCCGACGCCGAGGGAGGGGGTGGGGGGGGGGCTGCGAGGGAAGGAAGGGGAGGGGAAGATGTAGGAAGTACTTGAAAGGCAAGATCAGTTTTGTTTTACAAAATGCAATCAATGATGATAAAATTGATGATTAATGAACTTAATATAGATTCAGAAACGAAAAAAGAATATCTTGTTAAATTTCCTCTATAGATCTGTGAAATGTTCCTCTTCTGGCGGTGCTCTATTTGGGAGCCATGCCATGCTTTCATTTTGCTTTGTTTTTTCTTCCAGTTAACGTTTAAGCCTGCTACGGGTTCTTTTCTGCTACAGCTGTTTTATGGGTGATTACTGCAACCATCCCGTTATGTAAATTCAACATTTTTGGAATAGTGGATGGAGCCGTATCGTTTCCTTTGAGCAAGACATTCTCTATTGTTGTCGTCTGGGCTTTCGTTATTTACGTGTTCGTCCTGCCTTTTGCATACAGTAGTGCATTATGGGTGTTTTTAGGATTCTCTTGCTAATTCGGGTGCCTCTTCCTTCAAGGTGTTTATTTTGTGTTGGCTTTAGCCATGAGAATATTGGGTATTGAGACATAGTGCTATATGACCTTTGACGTCTAGCACATTAATTTGTTTAAACTATTAACCACTGACCATCTTGTAGTGTGATATACTTTTTTGTATTTTACTGTTTTATTGACAGGTTTAATTTTAGCAGACTTGAGAAAGACTTTTAGCATGTATTGTGTTCTAAAATATCACTTGAATATGAGCAACTATTAGTGTTGTTTTTCCTTTGCTTCAAATCCTGGCTAATTTGCCCTTACAAAGCGGGTTCTGGCGGGGCCTTGAACTCCTCCACTCATCCTACCTTCCTATCCAAGGTCTGCATAAGCACAGGTCTCGTCACTAAGCGACTCAAATTCGTCCGTCTCGTGCATGACGTCACTTGGCGTAAAAGCCTGGGGTTTCGACGCTAATCGTGTAGTCATTCTTGGATGTCATGTAGAGCCGTAAGGATCTCCCTCTCTCTAGATTTTCGCTTGACTGACTGGCGCGCGCAAAGCCTCAATGCCCAGTAGTTATTCAGTGGTTGGTTGCTACATTTAGGATCGCCCGTCATCATTATATATATATTATATATATTATATATATATATATATGTGTGTGTGGTGTGTGTGTGTGTGTGTGTGTGTGTGTGTGTGTGTGTGTGTGTGTGTGTGTGTGTGTGTGTGTAGATTATACCATATCTAAGCTGCAGCATGAGAATTACATAATTGACTTCACGTAAAATATGTGATACAGACCTACAAATAATCGCTCATAATCATCGCCAGTAAAATCTGTCGAATATGCAAATCGTTCAACGCGCTAGCATCTAAAATTACTTAAGTATTCGCTCATTTGCTCCCGTTTTCTATGATCTTCCTACCCAGTCTACGCCTAGTGACGTTATAGGCCTTATCACCCGAAGCTGTGTGACGAGACCTGTATTTACATAGTCCTTGTTCCTAGCCTTGACTCTTTGACCTAATCGTGTTTTTACTTGCATCTAATAACTGTGTTTATTAAAAAAAATAAAATACAGAATTTATAATTTGGGTAATTTTCTATGTTACGTCCGCCGCTCCGATATCGACGATTTTGGTATCGTTGGATTCCTCTCACTCTATACAATGCAAATATGTAAGTTTTATTGCCCGTTAGCGACAAACTTGGCCCCGATAACAGGTGCGACAATGTCGGAGCAGCGGATGTAATATAGAAAATCACCCTAATAATATAACCCACAGTGAAAATAACCAGGGTTATTCATATGACTTTCCATTGAAGAGGGCTGTGCCCCCTGCAGCCCACCCTGAGGGGCTACCGCCCCCCAACCACCGCCGAGGAAATAAAATATCCACTACGTATTCACCGTAGGATAGAGCGCACACGAACTAGATGCGGAGCCGATAACCTACCATAACCTAGGATTTTTAAGGTACTAACCTGATTGACCGCCACGGCCGTATCACACCTGATCCTTTTCTTCTTCAAGTCTGGGTGTACTGGCTGCCCAAACTTGCCGCAGGCTCTCTCCCGACGGAGGAGGCCGTGGCGGAAGCACATTTCCAGCATTTGTTCCTGGCTAGTTGCTACCTCGCGCAGGAAATCGGTCTCGGAGTAGGAGCACCCTCCACACTCGGTCATCGCGGCGGCTTTGGCGGAGTACTGAACGCGGCGGTTATTTCGGTTAGGAATTCTAAAATCGTGGTTCCAGAGGACGGGAAACTCGGCCTTGAGGCCATCGGTTTAACATCGCGAGAGGCGCAAAACCCGCCGACGAGGGCTCTTCTGTTCATGGTATACCCTGTTCATCCTGATTATACTACAGTCGTCTCTGTACAATGCTGACTAAGTCAAGGTTAGTATGCTGATTCAGTGGGAATGTTACGAGGTAATTGTAATACGTCCGCCGCTCCGAGATCGATGAGAATTGTGTAACGCTCTAGCCTGCCGTGAATACGTGGTGGAGGTTTTGTTTCCTCGACGGAAGTTGGGGGCGGTAGCTCCCCCCCAAGGGGAGTCGCAGGGGGCATAGCCCCCTGCAATGGAGAGTCATGTGAATAACCATGGTTATTTTTACTGTGGGTTATATCATTAGTGTTTTTTAACCCACATTTTCCCTGGAACCTTTCATGCCCTCCCCTGCTATCGCTAACGGGGGGTATTACTGTTGATTCTGTATTAGTATCAATAGATTTATCAGTCATTTTTTGTATGATACCTATTGATGCGTAAAATCTAACAAATAGGAGAGGAAATATATTTACATGTGCAGTACACTATACATTACGTTTAATATTACAGTCACGTAATAATCTGCGTCATAGTCAGGGTTCAGGCATCAGAGGAAATAAAACATCATCTCGTAGAAAATAACTTCCGTCACTCACCGCAGGCGCCGTCGTAGGCCTTGGCCACCTTCACCCCCCTCTGCTGCGCCTGGCAAATGGCGACGTTGAGGATGCACTCGTTGTTGTAGGTCTCTCCGTCGCTGCCGCACACGGGCGCGAACTTCCTGTTGCAGTTCTCGGGGCAAGAGGACGCCGCTGGGGCAGCCGTGGCCTCGTCCCTGACCACTGGCAAAGGCGCGGGTCCCTCGGGGGCGACGGTGGGGGGCGGGGCTGGGGGGGGGTTGGGGATTAGGAATGGTGAGGGCGAGGTTGGATGGCTACTGTGACGGGCAAATGGGTGTGTGCAAAGGGCAATGCGCATACGCACGTGCACACACACACGAGTGCATAACTACATGTACACACACACACACACACACACACACACACACACACACACACACACACACACACACACACACACACACACACACACACGAAGCGCATACATATATTTCCTTAAGTTCTAAAGCTAAGCAGTTCCCACTTCGTCTCCTAGAAAGAGAAAAAGCGCAAACAGGGTCATTATCCCCGCAATTTCTGCGCCGCCATTCACTTTTTGAAAAATATGAAGTGGATTCCCAACAACGCCAAAACAACAACAACACGCGAGCCACAACCAACTCACCGCAGGCGCCGTCATGAGCCTTGGCCAGCGCCACTCCCCGCTGCTGTTCGTTGCAAATGGCGACGTTGAGGATGCACTCGTTGTTGTAGGTCCTTCCGTCCGAGCCGCACACGGGCGCGAACTTCTTGTTGCAGTTTTCGGGGCAAGAAGTGGGTGCTGCAGGCTCCGCCGGGCGGCCGAGCTCAACGTTGCCGATGGCGCCGGACACCACGGATTCCAGCGTTTCTGGGGAAAGCGATGGTTGGAGAGGAAGAGATGTAGAATTTTTTTGTTTTGAAAAAAAAAAGAATGATAGATAAATGCAGCAGATATTTCCATAAATAGCGTTTCTGGAAAAGAACAGATAAATTAAAATGAATAATGTCAATATTTTTGATGTTTTAAAAACACATAAATGATAGATAAATGCAGTAGAGATTCCCAAAAATATATAATTAATACGAGAGTCGGATAAATGAGAACAAGTAAAACAAAAATAGATCTTGAAAAGAACTGCTCTTTATGCTTCAAAGA